ATCTCCTAACATACAGTACGCATCCAAATAACAGAAATATGCTATTATGTCCTTATAATATATGCCTTTATCTTTCAGCTTTGTCACGATCGTGGTTATTTGGTGACGCAAGATGAACTGGATCAGACTCTGGATGAGTTCAGAAGCCAGTTTGGAGACAAACCCAGCGAAGGTCGACCGCGACGAACTGATCTCACGGTCCTGGTCGCCCACAACGACGATCCGACCGACCAGATGTTTGTGTTCTTCCCTGGTATGGTGCATCTTCAACAACAAGCCTAGCTCCTGTTGAACTCGTCCGTTACGAACTGTTGAGGAACGCTTGGTTTATCATATCTACCCGTGCTCTTGCTTTCAGAGGAACCAAAGGTTGGCATCAAGACCATAAAGATGTATTGCCAGCGAATGCAAGAAGAAAACATCACCAGGGCCATCATTGTTGTCCAGATGGGCATGACGCCCTCCGCCAAACAGGTGACGCAAGCATATACACTTACATTTAGAGGAGCATTAACTATTAAGGCATTTCAATTATGTGTTTGTCTTTTAAATTTCAGTCTCTGGTAGACATGGCGCCTAAGTACATACTTGAGCAGTTTCTTCAGCAGGAGCTTCTAATCAACATTACCGAACACGAGGTGAGGAAGCTGCATTTAAACGCCGTTCACACAAAGAACGGCAACTATATTAGCGTTCGCGCCAACTGACAATAAGAGCGCACTTCATGCGTGTCGTCTGTAGCATTAAATGTGCAGTCAGGCTGATTCTGGTTGGCTGTCAGTGTTTTTATAGTCCAGTCAAACCAAAAATGTAGACACCAGATATAATTTTAGATTTTTTTTTTTACTAGTGGGTGCAGGACTCTATAGTTCATTTATGCAAGTGAGGATAGCAAAATAAAGTAAACTGGCATATTATACCCCAAAATTCTTCATACAGTTTACTACCAGTAAAATTGATAAAAATTGGGACCAAAAATTATTCAGACGCTTTGACCTGACCATGTTTTGCTTAAGTGTTTTTCTTTAATTGCTAATGTGACCTTTTTACACCACAGACTGAACAAAATTAGCATTAGCATAAGCATTGCTTGGTAGTTGGTTGCCCTAAATTGGTATTATCTAATCGGAGTGTCTATTTACACTAATGCCGAGTTCACACTGCACGATTTTCAAACTCGTCGGATCGCCGTTGTTTTCACACTGCGTGACTATCTGGGGTAGCATTCAGTTGCTGCTGTGTTCACATTGCACGATGGATCGGCGACAGGGGGTTTCACACTGCATGACTCAGATCACGAATTTTGATAATTCACACTGGGTGATTTTCACTCGCGTGAACGAGCACCGATTTTGTCGGCGAGTGAAAAATCGGGCTAAAATCGTGCAGTGTGAACTCGGCATAAGTGCAAATAGCCCACCTTGTTGGCAGAGGTTATTTACAGTAGCTCCACCCACAAATGTGTGATAGGGATGGTCAACACTGCAAAAGACAACAGACAATCGTCAGCTTCAGGAGGCGTAGATGGTAAAGCGCGTTCTGTAGTCTTTTTGACTCGATCGACCCGGGTTCGAATCCGTCTTTTGCCAAACTTTTCTTTCTCCCTTTTCAAATTTCATATCACATCGGAAAAGCATTTATTTAAATTTAGGAAATGATCAAAAAGTTTAAAATAAAGTATCGGGTAGGTGTAGGAAGGGCTTTATTGTCCCAATAAGGTGGCATCCATTTGATAATTTGAATTAAAATGATAATTTACACTCAATACGTTATTACTGCATACTGTTTTATAATGTTCTATAATACTGAGGTGAGTAGTATAAATAGCAGAAAATCCTGCTATTTTAACAGTGTAAATAGCATCTATCGCTAAGAAAATATGCTATTTTCACTTACTAATTGTGTACTTAAATTTAACAGCTGACAGCCATTCAATCTAACTCCTTACATACCTTTCTATCAAAGTTATCTGACATTATCAAGATGAATTTGATCTGACACAGTTTAACTCGGAGTTCTTGTCATATTTTATTACCATTTTCTAAACAATAGCTAATAAACTGCGATAATGTGCGAAATGTTGAAGGTGTCCGAATAAATTTTGGCTTGACTGTAAATCAGCTAAAAGTAAAATCGTTCAGATTCCAACGTCATCGTCCCTCTGTGCTAAAATCATAATAACTATAAAGTTTTTGTAATCGTTCTATTTCTGTGAGAATATATGGTGGTCCACATTACAACTATAGTTAGGAATATCATTCGTATGACTTTAAGAACGATTTTTTTCCCCAACTGATAAAACGATAAAAACATTGACAGCCAATCAGAATCCACCTGAGTTCATGCATTTAAAGAGACAGACGAAATAACTGAAGTGTGCTCTTATAATATCATTAGGGTGTGGGTGATGTAGCTATCTTTTAAAGCTCTCTCTTTTAAAGCCCAAAACACACTGCACAATTTTCGGCTGTCCCAGACGACAGACTGGCATTGTGAAACAATCGTGGCGATTTCTGTGATCATGGCTCCTGATCTCGTACAGTGAGAGAGGTTCGAAGATGGCCGTTGTCACGGTCTTGCGACCAAAGACATCCTACGATACAGCATGATCATCGCTCAGTGTCTTTGCCGTTACAATCCACGTTTACTGACCAGCCAATAAAAACGCGACATGGCGCTGAAACATAAAACTTAAGCTCTCATGCCATCCTCTTTCGCCGCTTCCACTTTGTTTCAGCACACATAAAAACTACAACTGCTAAAGTGTGATTTATCCTGCTCTTTTTGTTCACCACTAGCGCATGCTGATGACGTTTATTCTTCTATAGTAACGTGCGTCGTATCGTATGAGTCACTAGGTTTTATCATCGTACAGTCTACACGCACGGCGCACCCAAGTTTATTAGATCCATGTCGACATCCAGTGTGACATGCAATGATCTTATAGGATTGCTAAAATCGTGCAGTGTCTCGGGCTTAAGGCGTTTTAGATTTTTATCGACTTATCATTTGGCCATTTACACCAAAATGCTAATATTACACATTGTTTTAATGTAATTTGCACAATAATAATGAGTTTATTTCCTTCAGCTTGTTCCAGAGCACATAGTCATGACTAAAGAGGAAGTGACCGAGTTGCTGGCGCGGTAGTATCCTTTGAGTTTTGGTTGAAGTTTATAGCACTGTTATGTTAGTAACAATGATACCGTTATAGTTTTTATTCATATTCTAAATTGTGTTTTTTTTTATTTTTTTAGTTACGTTAAATGAAAAATCTTGCCTTGGCAACTATATTTTTAAAAATATTTTATTTCAGTTGAAGGGATAGTTTACACAAATGAAAACAGTCACCATTTACTCACCCTCAAGTTGTTCTTAACCTGTACGAGTTTCTTTCTTCTGTTGAACACAAAAGATGATATTTTGAAGAATTGGTAACCAAACAGTTGACTGTAGCCATTGACTTACATAGTATGGGGAAAAAATACTATGTAAGTGAATGCCTGTGTTTATTTTAGGTAACAAATGTTTTTAATGTTTTTTTTAGTTAACTATAACAACCCTGATTTATTGGATTCAGTTGGATGGTTTACTTCATTAGTTGGTACTTTAGATTGGTTAGTTTAGCCTTAACCAGCTGCTCTCCAGTAAACTAAAGGAAAGCCAGCTTCCCAGAATTCAAGCCGGGGATCCTGTTGCCCGTTACTTTGGCTTAAAGAGAGGCCAGGTAGGAACTCAAATGTGTATTTTCTTCTTATTTTGACATCTCTAAAAATCTTTAGTTTGAGCATTTGAGTGTTCAAGTTAACTTGTGGCATGTTCTTCAGGTTGTTAAGATCATCAGACCGAGTGAAACTGCTGGACGGTACATCACATACAGACTGGTCCAGTAATGCTTATGAAGTCAGTATTTCTGTTGTAGTTCACTGGAGGATGTGTATATCAACAACAATAATTCAAATTCAAGATGCAAATCTGTGAAGCAAGTGTTACTTAAGTATCATTACTATACGTGACCCTGGACCACAAAACCAGTCTTGAGTCTCTGGGGTATATTTGTAGCAATAGCCAAAAAAACTTTGTATGGGTCAAAATGATAGATTTTTATTTAATGCCAAAAATCATTAGGATATTAAGTAAAGATCATTTTCCATTAAGATATTTTGTAAATTTCCTACTGTAAATATCAAAACTTAATTTTTGATTAGTAATATATATTCCTAAGGACTTCATTTGGACAACTTTAAAGGCGATTTTCTCGCACCCTCAGATTCCAGATTTTCAAATAGTTGTATCTCGGCCAAATATTGTCCGATCCTAATAAACCATACATCAATGGAAAGCTTATTTGTTCACCTTTCAGATGATTTATAAATCTCAATTTTGAAAATTTGACACTTAAGACGGTGGTCCAGTGTCACATATTGTCTTTAGTACATAGTTTTGAATTAGTTTGTTTTCTTAAGGTCTATTTAGTTAAGTGTTATTTTAGTGCCTTCACAAAAAAAAATTCTTTAATGTTAATATTTTTAAGGAATTAATGATATTTGTTTCATCTTTTGTTTGACAGATTTGAAATTTTCTCCAACTGCTGAAAGTGAACATGGGCTGAATTTTGTCCTTTACGTTTTTTTAACTAATAAATATGATTTTGCTATTCTTTCTCTCCTTGTGTCATTTTATTTGACAACATTAAAAACGCTGTTAGTTTGGTCCCAAATGAGCTGTGAACACAAGCCTCAAAACCTGAAAGTAAATAAAGCGCAAGCACTTACCTTTTTCTTTCTGAAAGCCATTGTTGTGATGGGGGGGGGGGGGGGGGGG